GAGACCATGTCAAAAGCTTTGCTAAAGTCAAGAAACAATACATCCACTGCTTTCCCTTCATCCACAGAACCAGTAATCTCATCATAGAAGGCGATTAGATTAGTCAGGCATGACCTTCCCTTGGTGAATCCATGCTGGCTGTTCCTGATCACTTTCCTCTCATGCAAGTGCTTCAGGATTGATTCTTTGAGGACCTGCTCCATGATTTTTCCAGGGACTGAAGTGAGGCTGACTGGCCTGTAGTTCCCAGGATCCTCCTTCTTCCCTTTTTTAAAGATTGGCACTACATTAGCCTTTTTCCAGTCATCCGGGACTTCCCCGGTTCGCCACGAGTTTTCAAAGATAATGGCCAATGGCTCTGCAATCACAGCCGCCAGTTCCTTCAGCACTCTCGGATGCAACTCGTCCGGCCCCATGGACTTGTGCACGTCCAGCTTTTCTAAATAGTCCCTAACCACCTCTATCTCCACAGAGGGCTGGCCATCTCTTCCCCATTTTGTGATGCCCAGCGTAGCAGTCTGGGAGCTAACCTTGTTAGTGAAAACAGAGGCAAAAAAAGCATTGAGTACATTAGCTTTTTCCACATCCTCTGTCACTAGTTTGCCTCCCTCATTCAGTAAGGGGCCCACACATTCCTTGGCTTTCTTCTTGTTGCCAACATACCTGAAGAAACCCTTCTTGTTACTCTTGACATCTCTGGCTAGCTGCAGCTCCAGGTGCGATTTGGCCCTCCTGATAACATTCCTACATGCCCGAGCAATATTTTTATACTCTTCCCTGGTCATATGTCCAACCTTCCACTTCTTGTAAGCTTCTTTTTTATGTTTAAGATCCGCTAAGATTTCACCATTAAGCCAAGCTGGTCGCCTGCCATATTTACTATTCTTTCGACTCATCGGGATGGTTTGTCCCTGTAACCTCAACAGGGATTCCTTGAAATACAGCCAGCTCTCCTGGACTCCTTTCCCCTTCAAGTTAGTCCCCCAGGGGATCCTGGCCATCCGTTCCCTGAGGGAGTCGAAGTCTGCTTTCCTGAAGTCCAGGGTCCATATCGTGCTGCTTACCTTTCTTCCCTGTGTCAGGATCCTGAACTCAACCAACTCATGGTCACTGCCTCCCAGATTCCCATCCACTTTTGCTTCCCCCACTAATTCTACCCGGTTTGTGAGCAGCAGGTCAAGAAAAGCACCCCCCCTAGTTGGCTCCTCTAGCACTTGCGCCAGGAAATTGTCCCCTACGCTTTCCAAAAACTTCCTGGATTGTCTATGCACCGCTGTATTGCTCTCCCAGCAGATATCAGGAAAATTAAAGTCACCCATGAGAATCAGGGCATGCGATCCAGTAGCTTCCGTGAGCTGCCGGAAGAAAGCCTCATCTACCTCATCCCCCTGGTCCGGTGGTCTATAGCAGACTCCCACCACTACATCACTCTTGTTGCACACACTTCTAAACTTAATCCAGAGACACTCAGGTTTTTCTGCAGTTTCGTACCGGAGCTCTGAGCAGTCATACTGCTCCCTTACATACAGTGCTACTCCCCCACCTTTTCTGCCCTGCCTGTCCTTCCTGAACAGTTTATATCCATCCATGACAGTACTCCAGTCATGTGAGTTATCCCACCAAGTCTCTGTTATTCCGATCACGTCATAGTTCTTTGACATCACCAGGACCTCCAGTCTTACCGCAGGAAGCCCTGGCTTTCAGTAGCATCAAGCGCACACACAACCCACCCCAAGCTCCCACTGAAGTCCATGAGAGCTGCAATGATAGAGTGCTGCTGACAATCAGCCCTTGCACCGGGATTAGCCTTGGTCTGTTATTCTTCAGAGCGCTCTTGGGATCCCATCCCAGGGGAGAACAGAGGGAGGGTTGCTATGGAAACAAACTCATACCGATTTTTTTTTTTGTCTACTTTCCATGTATTTGTTGGGTTTGGTCACACATGCTGCATGCACATTGAACCTACAGGGAGCCTAGATGGGAACACAGAAACTTTATTGTTTATTACTTGTATTGCGGCCCCCCCTAGGTGCCCCAGCCCTGGAGCAGGATCCCATTGTGCTCGGAGCTGTACAAACACAGAGCAAAACGACAGCCCGGGCCCCAAAGACGGACACTTTATGACAAGAGACAACAGGTAAGTACACACAGACCGGGGTGTCTAAGGAAACAAGACCATACCGATCAGCATAACAAGCCGTGGTCCCACGGCTGCCTAACTGTTTACTATGCTGCACAATCATGCCACTAGAGGAAGACAACTGGCCAATCGTTTTTAAACTATATTGGAGGTGGGTCAGAACTAAATCCCCGGATCCAAACTCCCCTGAAATTTGGGAAGCATAAAACCCAAATCATCTTTGCAGCCTGGCCCCATTCACTAATATTAATAAATGACTAATAAAAATGACTAGATTATTAATGTATTTATACTACAGCAGTAGCCAGAAGCCCTGATTAGGATAGAAGCCTCATGTGCTGTGCGTCTTATGATGGGGGCCATATCTCATGATCTTTAACATATTTGTCCTCACAACACCCCTGTGAGGTAAAGACATGCTATTTTACAGGCAGGGAAATGAGGCATAGAAATGCTAAATGACTAACCCAAAGTCACAAAAGAAATCTGTGGCACAGAAGGGAATTGAACCCAGGTGTCCTACGCTAGACCCCCAACCACTGGAGAACCTCTCTCTCTTCTGACTATTGTATTTTAGGGAAAGAAGAGAAAGAGAGAGAGAACAGGGATGCACAATAGAAAGGAAGGCTATTCATTGTGCGTTTGTACAGCACCTTGCACAATGGGACTCAGCTTGGTTGTGGTTTTGGGGTGGTATCATGATACACAGGTTAAATAACACCAATATGAATAATACAAACCTATGTGAAATCTACAACCTATGATTTGCCTGGGGGGGTTCACACAGGTAACAAACCAAACAGCATTCGTAGCTCAGATGAATTGTTGATTTGCCAAAGGGCCAGGGACAAGTCCCAAGCTTGAGATTTGAGAGAGTTTAAGGAAAACGAACCAGTTCCCAGTGTGACAGTCTTGGTATTTCATCTGCTACAATGTCATCCTCCACGCTCTGCTTTTTTAAGTCAATTTTTACCAGGGGCGCGCAACCTTTCCAGACTACTGTACCCCTTGCAGGATCCTGATTTGTCTTGAGTACCCCCAAGTTTCACCTCACTTAAAAACTACTTGCTTATAAAACCAGACATAAAAATACAAGAATCACAGCATAATAGTACTGAAAAATTGCTGACTGTCTCATTTTTACCATATAAAATAAATCAATTGGAAAGTAAATATTGCACTTACATTTCAGCGTATAGCATAAGAGCAGTATAAACAAGTCATTGTCTGTAGGATATTGTAGTTTGTACTGACTTCATGAGTGCTTTTTATGTAGCCTGTTGCAAAGTAGGCAAATATCTAGATGAGTCGATGTACCCCCGGAAGACCTCTGTGTAGCCCAGGGATACGCAAACCACTGGTTGAGAACCACGGATTTGTACAACCTGTCCAGCAGGGCTCCGGCACAAAGCACACCGGAGATATTTAAAACCGAAAATGCAGTGAATTTAGCGCTGGATTCACAGCCCTGGAGATTGGAGTCCTCTGTCCACAGCATAGCTGCAGCACTAGCTTCCCCTTCACTGTACCACCAAAGTGCCTCACCCCTGACTCGCAGGACCCCCTCTAAAGGGGAGCTCATGCCATGGCCTGTTCAGAATCAGAGACTAAGGCCAGAAGGGACCATCGTGATCATCTAGTCCTTGGAGACTGGCAACAGAAGGAGCCCGCTAGTCTCAATTTATGGTTGTGGCTCTTGTGATGGGAGGGGGCAACGATCCCACCTGGGAACCAGGGGCATAATCTGGATGATCTAATACATTTTATCCATCTTGAGTGTCCATGAGCCTGTGGCTCGGTGAAAACACACTGGGTCTGGAGTTCATGACCATCCACCCTCCCAAACCTCAGTGGCTCACCACAGGTTACTTGTGTCTCTGTGGGGGTTTTAGGTGAAGGCAGGCTCCGAAAGGGCTCCCTAAGGCTTTCAGAAAAGTCAGTGAAAGCTGTGAAGCCCCAGTACGCAAACATGGGAAATACAAACACAGCTTCGAAAACCCAGACAGAGCCCTTCGGGACAGGTCAGCTAGACGGCTCTTCGACCAGAGCGGCAGGGAGGGGCACTGACTGACTGCTTAACAAGCAGCTTCTCCTGGCTCCAAGGGCAGGAGGGGGAGGAGGGGTGAGAGAAGACATTCAAAAATTAAAACCGATCCATATGCCCTCGCAAATTAAAAACCAGCCAAGGCATTTTCAGTTATGAGGCTATAATTAGAGAGCAGCCAAATCAAGTCCCTGCACCTGGCTTCTGGGGACGCTTAGACCTGGATCTGAAACTTGCACTCCATCTCTAGCTACTGAGGCCGTTGCCTTGGGGTTCTGGGGATGATGGAATCCACTAAAGCATGGCTCTTTTATCTCTTGATCCCGCTTCCCCCACCCCCCGAAGCCGGTGGGCATCTTTCCAGGGATTTTCAATGGGAGCTGTACTGGGCCCATAATTCCAGACATCAGAACTCCTCAGTGTCCTGACACCTGGATTTCACAGCTGCCTGGTACAGGGCCCCCATCTCCTCTCGTTAAAGCCAATGGCATGATGCCCCTCGACCTCCACGGAAGCAGGACTGGGCTAATATGCAGTATTGTGCCAGGTGACGTTCACCCCTTGTGCCGAAGAGCCACACAAACCCCACACAGCACTTTCTCTCATTCTGAGGGCTGGAGTGACGCCTAGTCGCCGTGCTGACCCCTCTGCCCAGGGGTCCCACAAAGTGCTTTGCAAAGGAATGAGCTCATCCTTTTCCCGGAGTCAAATGGAGCAGCCATAGTCACCCACCGGCAGCCCATGCACCACCAAGGAGCCTTGGCCCAGTTTCCTTGACAGTGGGGAAGGTTGGCCGTGCGGGTGAGGGGATGTTACCTTGCGTTTCAAGATTTTCACACAGTTCTGATTTGGCTTCTCCGTTGGGTCGGAAACCTCCCTTCTGAGTGAATTTGTTGGACATGGTGGCGGCCGTCACCACCGCCTTGAGGCTGCGTTTGCGCTTGGGGACGTTCTGCTCTGGATGGAAGAGGATGATATACACCTTGGGCATGTACAGCATGCCCAGCGAGACAGAGGCGCTGAGGCTCACCGAGATGGTCAGCGTCATGGTCTGGATGTACATCTGGAAGACACAAGGTAACACGCTCAGGCCTGCGAACCCCTTCCCAGACACGTTAATCCCCCCTTCCCTCTGCAACTGCCCCTACGTAGAGAAACTTCCAACTAGGGACAAAGACAACTGAGAGGAGAGGGGGAATGTGGATAAAAAGATGATGGAGCAATCAGTCGGGGTTGGAAATGAGGACGGATGGAGCAGGTGGAGATCTGGAATAAGGCTAAATGGAGAGAAATGGGCGGGATGGAAGATCAAATGAGCAAACGAACAATGGGATGGATACAAGCATTAAAAATGGCTTTTTTGATGGGTGGGTGGGTGGATGGATGGAACGTAGGGCTACAGAGGAAGTGGGGTGTACAGACGGGGGAATAAAGGGAAAGGATGAGACAGAGAAGGGTTTCTACTGTCTAAAGTAAGGATCTTGCATTTTGGTGGATCTGTTTTCCATAATCGCCTCTTATAGGGCAGAGATTAGTCTTCAGGCTAAGGCCAGGCTCAGGTCTCAAGTGCCCCAGTGTAAACCTGGAGTAACTTAAGTGACCTCAGCATAAACATATAAAATACAGGAAGCAGCCATGTAAGCTTCCCGCCCCCCTACCCATATGATCACCCCAACATGCCTTAATGCTCTGGGAGGACTGCAGGTGAGCTTGCATAGAAGTGGCAATGCCGAGGTGAAAGGCACCCTTACCAAATTGAGCCCTCCAGCTCTTCTCCAGAGCAGGATGCAAGACATTTCAGCTTCAACTCCGCATGCCTGTGTTGTGTTATTCATTGGAGCTGCTGGAAGGCGGTGGGGTGGGGAAAGAGCTGTTGGGTTTAACCTAGAGATGGGATCAATCCATCCAATCGAAATGGGCATCTCCAGCACTTTGCTGGAATGAGGGTGTGTTATGTCGTGCCCCAGTTTATCAGCATATTAGCAGTGCTGGGATGGGATCAGTACCTCCATCACTTTACCACAGGAGTCAGCAATGTGGACTCTGGGGAGGTTGGGAGGCGGGATGTTGCTGGCATGTGAATGGTTTCATTGCCCTGGGAATGTGATTGCATCAAGAGGTTAGCATCCCCAGGGCTTGGTTCATCACTTCAGAGGAGTGGGGATAGGGGTAAGGAGGTCAGCTATGAGAAGGAAACCAAGAGGGGAGGGGGGATACTTGAGCATCGAATGGAAGTCAGGACTGAAATCATTATGGGATAGTTTGGGTGGGACAAGACAGATAGGTACAGATATTGAATGTGGGCATCGAAACACAGAAGAACATCATTTGTCTGCCATTGCGGGGTCCTCAGTCCCTCCTCTTCTCTGCCTGTGGCACAGAACAGTCGAGTCTCCTGGGGGCTGTCATTGGTTGGTCTAGTTTCCGTTGTTGGGTTTAAGGTGCAGGTGCTGAGGGATCTTGCTTGCCTGTGATTTACATGACATCAGACTGGATGATCTGGTGGCCCCTTCTGACCTTAAACTCTGTGGCTCTATCTGGCCTCATCTCAGGGTCCAGCATGTAGGAAAACAACGTATCGCTTTGCACGCTACTGGTGAAGGCCTGGTCAAGTAGCTACTGCAGGGCTCTGGGCGTCAGGACTCCAGGGTTCTATTCCCATTTCCGCCACTGACAGGCTGTGTGATTGCAGGCAAGCCACTTCCACTCGCTGTACTTCCGTGTCCCTCATCTGAAAAATGAGGCTTCTGATCCTGGAATTTCCCCACTCCTCTCAGCCACTTTGTGGTTGTCAGATGCATTCTAGTAGCGTGACGCATAGCTGGGCAGAAACCACCGACAGCCCTCCCCGTACAGTGCCGGTACGGACATGGCAAGCAAACTTGTCAACACACCAGCGGCAAACACAAAGTTTAGAAAGCCCTAGAATCACTCGAGAGAGAAGCAGAGAGACGCCCACACCCTCTACTACACACATCCCCTCTCGGAACAAGACTCAAACCTACGTATGTGCGTACCACTGGCAACAGACGGGGGCTCAGATACCCCTGCGAAGGGCATGGTATGGAAACCTGACTATAAAAACACCTGCAGGCCCCTCCAGCACCCACACACTCCCTTCTCCTGTGCATAGAGATGCGGCCCTGTCTTCTTTCAACACGCAACGCTCATTCACTAGCTTGCTCCCTGAGCCGTTGGAATGTTAGTCACATATTACACACTGACGTAGCCTTTCTGCAGTCAAAACTAATTTCACGCTCACTGTCCAGAACTAACGGTGACAGATGTTTTGCAAAATGAAAGCCCATTAATCTGACTGTAGAATAATCCGTTTTTCTATGGAAAGGGCTTGGCAGGCACCTCGCAAGCTGGAGATGTGTCAATCAGAGGGCGTCAAGAGGGGGAGCACCCACGTCTCACCCTATCGCAGCCAGGGGGCAGGGCCAGGCAACCCCCGGTTACATGTCCCTCCTCCCTGCTCAGCCCCCTCTTTGGCATCATCTTCCACTTGCATCTCCCCACCCCTGACCACAAGTTCTGGATTTCAGGCCAGCTCCCAATTTGTTCCCGGCTGTGAACTCCAGTTGCTAACAACGATTCAAACGAGGCTCAAGACAGTTTCCGAACTTCATCCTCTGGCTCAGCTGTGGCATGGTGTCTGTCTGCGTTATACATTTCTCGTGTGGATTTTAGCACCAGCAATAGGCGTGAGGATTGACAGCATTTAGACAGTGCAGTCCTGGCTGATGGCCCATGGATTAGGGCACTACCCTGGACTCAGGAGACCCAATTGCAGTTCTCTGCCCTGCCATAGATTTCCTGTGAAACCTATGGCAACTCAGGGTGTGACTCGCAAAGGTATTTAGGCACCTAACTCAATTAATGGGAGTTAGGTGCCTAAATACCTTTGCGAATCCCACCCTTAGCCTGTCTGGGACGGTTGTAGGGCTCTAGGAGTCAGGACTCCTGGGTTCTATTCCCATTTCTGCCACTGACAGGCTGTGTGATTATGGGCAAGTCATTTCCCCAGTCTCTTCGTGCCTCAGTTTCTCTTTTTAGGCTCTTGGGTGTTAAGTGCAGTGGATGGCACTGGAGGTTAGAATCACTCAGGCAGCCTAAGTGCAAGCTTCCCACAACCAGTTCTTTTGGTGCATCTCATTCTTCGTCTGCAGCACCCTGTTACCACAGTCCTGGGCTCCCACACAGTTCTACCAAGGCCCCTCAGTCCTGAGCAGCACTATCCCCTGCTATCCTGGCCCTCATTTTAACACATACAGTTCTGCCAATGCACCTCACTGTCGACAAATAGCTCCCCTACGCGCCTAATCCTGAGCAGAGCCTGCCTGCCATGTCTTTGAACAGTACGCTGATTTTTGCAAACTAATGTCCACTGGGGATTAGATGGAGACCGAGCAGACCCATTCTGTTTGTGGCCCAAAACACAGTTCATGGACCAAACTTTCTGCTCTGAGTTACCCAGGTTTTGAGCCAGAGGTTATCAAGTCACCCTGGATGTACATCAGTTTAAGTGAGGTAAGAACCTGGCTTCAAATCATCAAGCACCCAGAAAGGCAGGCAGGTTGGAACCAGATAGGTCCGGAAAGATGTTCCACATATTTAACTCAGCAGTACACGCTGGATCCCAAGTCCAGTGAGGCAAATGGAAAGACTCCAATTAATCTGAACTGGCTTGGGGTCAGGTCAATGCACTAAAGGACAGGCCTGGCTAAGGCAGCAAAGTATGTTAGCTAAGGAAGAAAAAACAGATCAAGGCCAGCACACAGGCTGGAGCAGGAAGTGAGACACTATACAAGACCTAAGCCCTGCACTCAAAGTAACAAGGAGTGTGACTGATTTCCAGACGCTCTGAAAGACTTTCCCAGCGACTGATGAATCCCCGTGAGCTCTGGTGATGCATATAATCCAACACCCTCTGAATGGCCCCACAGAGGCACACACACCGCAAACAACAACCAAAAAAAAGGGTTAGTACAGATTGCTACGTGTGTCATGTACAAAAGGGGACCCATGTTGAGATGACTGGAGCATTATCTCTGCGTGTCAGGCCCATGTTGGGCTGTTAGCAGCAATTAATACAACAGGCACGGGAAGGGGAAAACAAAAAGTTATTTGGATTCACTAATCATGAGGGACTCCAGGGGAAACAACGGCTTAATGATTTCACTGCCAGCCAGGAGCTGGGCAGTTGAACCAGGCTGGCAGCCTTAAAGGGACGCTGTCAAGACAGATATCATGGGCCATATCCCCACCTGCTGTAAATGGATGTAGCTCCATTGCAGGGAAAGGGTCAGATTGATTCCCCCCAGCTGGTTTAAACTGATTTAATTCCGTTGTAGCCCTGGGCCCTGATCCCCAGCTGGTATCAATCAATGTACGTTAGCTGCTGGTCTGACTCTATGGGCCACTTTCTGCTCACACTTACCCCACTGCAAATCCAAACTCATTCTCTTAAAGTCAAGGGGCCTGATTCTCCTCTCACACCAGTGTAACTCCATCCACTCCAATTTCGCTTACACCAGCGAAAGCAAGAGCAGACTCAATAGATTTATAGCAGTGTAACGGAGAGCAAATTTTGCCCACTGGGACCAAATTTGTGCTTGGTGACACTTCCCATTGAGCTCAGGGATTCATTTGGCCCAGTATTGCTAATATCTCCTTAGCCGACCCAGATGAAAGGGTTTTAAAGCTCTAACTAAAGAATCCCTTATGTTCTTGGAACACTGTTTGCATCCCACTGGTCAAATACATTTGCATTCAGAATCCTTAGGCCAAATCCTCAACTCGTATAAATCAGTGTAGCTCCACTGACCTTTTTCTCTGTTGACTTGGGGTGGCCAAGACGGGACATGCTGCTCAAGGAGAGTGCATGCAATTATGGGATTGTCAGTATTATTTTGTCTCCTACGCCATACATCTCCTAACATTCTGTTTGCTTTTTTGAGCACCACTGTGCCTTGAGCAGAGGTTGTCATTGTGCTGGCCACAACAATGCCCTGGTCTTTTTCCTGAGTGGTTACAGTTGCATTTAAGACTCAGCCAAGT